CTAGGGCTCTGGCTGCTGACTGAGCCCTTGCACCTCCAACCTCCATAGGTTCCGCTCCTCCTCCTGGCGGAGGCGTGGATTGCGCACGCGCTGCTTCTCTGGGAAGGAAGGAGGAGCCCCTGGCTGGTTCGCGCCCTCCACGCCCTTCGTCCCTGCTCCACGGACGTTCTTCCAGCCGCACCCCCACCGCCAGCGCCCTCTGACCGATCTCCTGCGTGGTCCGGGGTCTCTCCCCCCTCGCAATTTCATCTTTAACCGAGCCGTGCAATCCCTCCCAAAACAGGTCTCTTACAGGAGCCGAATCTCTGTCCCATTCCAGAGCACTGACCAAAGCGAAAAGCGGGCATGGTACTGCCTTACGCTGGCCCTCCCTTGCTTCAGTCCATGTATCTGCTGCCGAGCAAGATCCACGTCAATGCTTGATAAAAAGCACCCATCCATCGCTTTAATAAAGGCATCCGCATTTTGGAGCGCCGGATCATATCTCTCCACAAATTGCGCAGCCATGCTTTAGCATCTCCATGCAAATGGGACATGATGAATCCCACCTTCTCTTGCTCATCTCTAAAGTCTTTGTCCAGCAGTTGCAGTGCACACATTACATCTGCTCTAAAGTTGGGGTACTGTTGCAAATTCCCATCGAAGTGAGAGACCAGACCGCCTGTTCGTCTCCCCAACCCAATCCCCTCCGGTTTGGGTGTCAGTTGCCCTTGCTTCGTAAGCACTTCCAACCTGACCTGGAGATCCCTGTAGGCGGCAGCTGCGTCCTCCTCTCTCTTCCTGGATGCAAGAGCCTCGGCATTCAGTCGTGACACTGCTTCTCTGAGTTCCGCTATCTGCTGTTCGGCCGTCATATTGTCTGCCTTTCGTGAGCTCGCTAGTAGGCACCCGCTTTCTCTCCTCTCCGCGAGGCTGTAGATGCCCACAATTTTATAGAGACGGAGCTTACTGTCAGAGCTGCTTCCAGATCCTAGCTCACAGAGGATCACGCTAGCCAGCGATCATTAAACAAAAGTCTTTATTGAGTTACAGTTTCCATTCTCAAACTGCTGCGTGCAACTCTACGTCTCATGGTTAGACCGGCGAAGCTCCGTCTGAGTCTCCGCCCCTTGTACACCAACTTAATATCCTAGCCCTGCTCCACCTTTTCCGCCTGACTGTTCTTCTCTGGGTCCCTCTGCCCCCTGGGGTCTCTTCTTTCCGGGATTCCTCTGACGCTGACGCTGACCCCCCTGACTCTTCTCCCTCCTTTCGGCGGGCTTTAGGACCTGGCTCCCTTTCCGGGCTGCCTACTGTGCCACCTTCCTGTGCATTTGAACTTGGCGCGCGCGCCCAACCTTCCACCTTCCGTCTGACCGTTTCTTCGCTCCCCGATGGAGGTGTGGCCACTCCTGACTCGTGCCCTCCCCCCTGTTGTGAGCTGCCAGCGCTTGATCCCTGGCTCCCTTCCTCTTCCCTGCTCTCTGGCGGTGACGCTGGTCCCGATTTCCAACTGCTCCCCTCTGAGTCCCCTCTGGCTCTATCTTCCTGGGGCGTCCCCTAGGCTCCCCCTTGCCCTGGCCACTGGTGCTCCTTTCTGTGAATCTTCTGATTCACTGGAAAGACTCGGAGATCTCGGGTCGTCGTCATCACTCATCTTTTCTTCTGCCTCCTCCCCCTCGCTCTCTGTTTCCTCCCTTGCCCTTGCCTCTGCTCCTGAACCCCTGACAGTTACGCTTAGACCGTTGAAGTCCCCCTGAGTCAGTCCCTCCCCTGCACCAGTTTAAGAGGCTTGCGCTGCTCCACCTCTTCCTCTCTTTCCTTTTCCGCAGGGTCTTCCTGCCCGCTGGGGTTTCGCCCCTCCTGGATTCCCCTGATGCGGAATCCCCAGATTGCTCTTGCCCCCTCCTGCGGGCTTTGGGACCTGGCCCCTCCTCCGGGCTCCCTGTACTTCCGCGCGCCTCCACATTTGAACCTGCGCGCGCGCCCAACCTCTAACCTTCCTTTTGACAGCTACACTACTCCCTTCACTACTCCCCTCCCCTTCCAGGAGGGTGGCTTGCTCCGACCTCCCTCCCTTCTCTGCTGCCGGAGCTGCTTCCCCTGATACACTGGAACCTCCACCCCCTTCGCTGCACTCTGGCGGGGAGGCTGGTCCTGACGCCCAGCTGCCACTTTGGGATCCCCCGCTGGCCCCCTGCTCCTGACACGTCCCCCCTGGGGCTCCTGGCCTTGACCACCGGCGCCCCGTCTGGGAATCCTCTGATTCGCTGGAAAGACTCATGGAATCTCTTGAGTCATTGTCATCCTCTTCCTCGCTGTCCTGGGACTCATCCCCATCGCTCTCCATCTCCTGCCTACCCTGTGCCTCTGTCCCTGAACCCCTGACACCTACTTTCTCCTCCTCATCTTTGAAGTCTTTCCGAAGCAAATGCAGCGCGTATACGACGTCTGCTCTGAAACTGGGATAATGCTTCAGGTTCCCATCGAAGTGGGCTACTAAATTGCCCCCCCTCCGTCCGAGTCCGATTCCCTCTGATCTGGACCCCGGGAACCCCTCTTTGCACGCATGGTCCCACCTGGCTTGCAGATCCTGGCATCGCGCTTCTGCTTCGGCAACTGTCTTCTGGGAGACCACTACCGCAGCGGAGAGCTCGGCGACTGCGTTTCGCAGGGTCATCATCTGCTCCTCAGTAGTCCTGTCTGCCAAACTTCGTGAGCTTTGCAAAAAAAAATTTTGCGGTTTCTTGAGAGGGGACTTACTGTCAGGGCTGCCTCAAGTCTCAGCTCACAAAAGACCAATGCCAATTTCTTCTTATATACAAAAGTGTTTATTGGAGTTCATTGTTTGCTTCACATCCGAGGCGCGCAGCCCCACGTCTGTTACCCTTAGACCGTTGAAGTCCCCTCTGAGTCAGTCCCTCCCCTGCACCAGTTTAAGAGGCTTGCGCTGCTCCACCTCTTCCTCTCTTTCCTTTTCCGCAGGGTCTTCCTGCCCGCTGGGGTTTCGCCCCCCTGGATTCCCCTGACGCGGAATCCCCAGATTGCTCTTCCCCCCTCCTGCGGGCTTTGGGACCTGGCTCCTCCTCCGGGCTCCCTGTACTTCCGCGCGCCTCCACATTTGAACTTGGCGCGCGCCCAACCTCTAACCTTCCTTTTGACAGCTACACTACTCCCTTCACTACTCCCTCCCCTTCCGGGAGGGTGGCTTGCTCCGACCTCCCTCCCTTCTCTGCTGCCGGAGCTGCTTCCCTGATACACTGGAACCTCCACCCCCTTCGCTGCACTCTGGCGGGAGGCTGGTCCTGACGCCCAGCTGCCACTTTGGGATCCCCCGCTGGCCCCCTGCTCCTGACACGTCCCCCTGGGGCTCCCTGGCCTTGACCACCGGCGCCCCTTCTGGGAATCCTCTGATTCGCTGGAAAGACTCATGGAATCTCTTGAGTCATTGTCATCCTCTTCCTCGCTGTCCTGGGATTCATCCCCATCGCTCTCCATCTCCTGCCTACCCTGTGCCTCTGTCCCTGAACCCCTGACAGTACTGCTGTGGTGGGAAGCTAAGCAGTGTTTCTGTGCGCTCTGGTTTCCGTCATGGTGTCCCATTGTGCCAGAAGCAGTTGAGTTTTGCTGCCCACATGACCCGGAAAGCTGTCTGTGGACAAACGCTGATTCCCTTGGCCTGAAAAGCAAGATGAGCGCCACAACCCCATAGTTGCCTTGACTGAACGTAACCTCCCAGGGGTCCTTTACTTTTACCCTTTTTTAAGGAGGGTATATGACAACATGGTGGATTTTGTCCTTTTTAACACCCCTCCCAATTGTTCTGTTCTTTCCACATTTTGGAATCCTTGTCCTCCTTCTCCCTCCTCCAAATTTTCCAGTTTTATTGTCTTTTCAATATTCCATTCCAAGTTATCACATATAGAGGATACTACCAATCTTTATAAGAAGAATGAATCAGAATAATTTGGATTTGAATAACCCTTGGCTTTTTTTCCCTACCAGAATTTTGGAGATCAGACAAAAGTTTAGGAAAAGTTGTGACAGATGCAATAATATATATTCCATTTTATATTTGGATTTTTTAAAAAATTAAATATTGTATATGTGATGGATTCCCGCATTCACTTTGAATATTGTGACTCACACAGGTACAATTTATGGTGATGAGTGGGAGATAAATGCTGCACACACATTTGCCAATACTAATCAAGTCCACACTCAACGCCCCCCCCCCCCCGCAAGAAAAATATATCACAGTTTGATCTTCTTCTTTTAAAAATGTATATAGGTCCTTGAGCACCAGGCTCATCTCAGGAGAATGGCTTTCAAAGCAGGCAAGTTTGTGGGAGCTTCTGAGCATCCCCTTTGCACTTCTATAAATCTTCTCTAATTTCATGAACTTATGGAAGTTGTCTTTATATCTGTATTATGGTATCTCAGATTTCAGATATAAAAATGACTTTTTACCTGTAAAAGGTTTTAAATAAGAATGTACTGAGTAAAATGACAAGAATTTCCATCTGTTCATTTGGGTTCATTCTGCAAAGCTTAGGCAGATTTTGTCAGGGCCAACCAAGGGTGTTTGGCCAATTGAGGAAAACAAAATGCCGCCCTCCTGCCACCCCCCCCCAGTTGTGAAGGTTGTGGGGTAGGAAAAGGAGGCTGCGGCAGGTGGGCCTGGGCGAGGCTGCAGCTGCCGCCTGATGCCACTGCCTCCTCCTACCACATGGGTGGGCCAGCCCATAGTTTTCTACTTCTTGTTGTTGTTTAATCGTTTAGTCGTGTCCGACTCTTCATGACCCCATGGACCAGAGCACGCCAGGCACTCCTGTCTTCAGTTTTCTACTTACCCTCATTTAATTCCATTGTTTAAGCCAAAGGCGGTAATTCCATTAACTGCTTGGAATAGTTTATGAAGCAACTGGAATGATCCAAAAAATGTTTCTTTCATGTATTACATTTATTGTAGTTCAGTCTATCATCTTACATAGTTTTAAGTTACTCCTCCAATTTGGAAGCTTCCAGGTAACTAAGGATGAAATCTATAAATATGTTTTTATTCATAATGATGATGATGATGATTTTGTTGTTGTTGCTGCTGCTGCTCCTGCTGTTTCAGTAAAACAGGCTGTACCTTTTTCAGTTCAGTGCCAAAGAACTACCAGCATGTTCTGGCCTTAGCATTTGCTGTCAAAGAGATCAATGAGAATCCCAACATCTTATCAAATATCTCTCTTGGATTCAAAATCCTCAACAGCTACTACACTGCCAGGATGACCTATAAGGCCACCCTCAGCCTCTTTTCTGCACAACGTCACTTTGTCCCCAACTTCAAGTGTCACAACCACAACAATCTGATAGCTCTCATTGGAGGATGCATCTCTGAAATCTCTGCCAATATGGCCATCATTTCAGACATCTACAAGACTCCACAGGTAAGCTGTGTGCATGAGTGTGTGGAGATTTCACAACTGTGACACACAATCTAGATGCCCACAAAGCTTTGAAAATGTTCCCTGATATATTTTCTTTAATGAACAGTTTAAATGTGGACTAAGTGTTAGCTTATCTAGCGAATACATAGCTCTTTAGAAAACAGTACTCACTGAGTGTTCAGCGATGGCTTAACATCAAATGGAGGGAGGTTAAATGGAGTCCCCCTAAAAACTATATTCTGGGACTGAACTGAAATTTTGAATCAATGACTCAGATGAAAGATTGGAAAGAATCTATATCAATGTGCAGCTGGTAAAAAAAGTGGAAGGGTTATTAACATTTCTAATGAATTGGACACAGTATTCCAAGTATGGCCTGGCCAAGGCAGAATAGTGATTACTAAGGCCAAGCATGGGTTTCTCAAAAATAAGCCATGCCACACGAATCTCTCTTTTTTTATGGAGTTACAAGCTTAGTAGATCAGGAGAACACTGTAGACGTAGTGTATCGTGATTTTAGTTAGACTTTTGACAAAGTCCCCAATGATATTCTTGCAAGGAAGGTTGTTAAAATTTGTGTGGAGCAAGATAAGTGTTAAATAGATTTGTAGCTGGTTGACTGACCAAACCCAAAGAGGACTCATTAATGATTCCTTGTCATTCTGAAAGAAAGGGACAAGTGGGGTGCTGCAGGGTGCTCTGATGGTGTTTCCTGCTTGGCAGGGGGTTGGACTCGATGGCCCTTGTGGTCTCTTCCAACTCTATGATTCTATGATTCTATGATTCTAGGGTTCTGTCCTGGGCCTGTTGTTGTTCAACATCTTCATAAATGATTTGGATGAAGGAATTGAGGGGATGCTCATCAAATTTGCAGATGACACCAAACTGGGAGGGGTAGCTAATGTTGCAGAAGACTGAACTGTGATTCAAAATGACTGTAACAGGTTGGAGACCTGGGACCAAGCTTAAAAGTGAATTTCAATTGGGACAAATGTAAGGTTCTGCACTTAGGCAGGAAGAACCAGCTGCAGCGGTATAAGATGTGGGACACCAAGCTTACTAGCAGTACATGTGAAAAGGATCCAGGGGTCCCATCTCAAGGACTGTAACATGGAAGATGGAGCAAGCTTGTTTTCTGCTGCTCCAGAGGGTAGGACCTGAACGCTGCAATTCTATGAGTCTAAGCAGGATGTTAAACATGACAACCTGCTGGATTCTCTGGAACATTGTAATTAAAATTATCTTGTAATGCTTCTCAAAAATGGCCCTGCAACTCTGTGATTCACAGGTGTAGCATGATCTTCTCCATCTGAAAAAATATTCATGCATTTTATTTCAGCTTATTTATGGATCATTTCTGCCAGTACAAGGTGCCAAAAGGCTGTTCCCGTTTTTGTACCAGATGGTCCCAAATGAAGCCCACCAGCACAAGGGAGTGGTCTTGTTACTTCAGCATTTCAAATGGCCATGGATTGGGCTCTTGGCTGTGGATGATGACAAAGGGGACAAGTTTTTACAGACAATTGTACCAATGCTTTCGCAGAATCATATTTGTTATGACTTCATAGTCAGAATCCCAAAATGGAATTATGTGGATGAAATGCTAGAATTAGGCATTGAAAGTCTGAGAAACTATGTAAGTGCCTTTCAGAGAAAAGCCAATGTAGTATTTATTTATGGAGAACCTCCTTCCTTTATGATTTTGAGAATTATGCTGTTGGGAATACCATTATATTATTCATCACCACCTCTGGGTAAAGTCTGGCTTGTTACATCCCACTGGGATTTTGCATCACAATTGCTTCACAAACAGTTTGATATACAAACCTTTCATGGCTCCCTAACCTTCACTGTTCACTCAAACCAGCTGGTAGGATTCCAAGAGTTCCTTCAGATGATAAGACCTTCCTGGGCCCAAAGAGATGGTTTTATCCAGGACTTCTGGGAACAATCCTTCAGCTGTTCATTAAAACTGCCTAAAGGACAGGAGGAAGAGGAGAAGACAAGCTGCACTGGGGAGGAGAAATTGGAAAGCATTCCTGGAATTTTATTTGAAATGAAAATGACAGGCCACAGCTACAATGTCTACAATGCTGTCTATGCTCTGACACATGCTTTGAATGCTATATACAAATCCATCACCAAACACAGAAGACTGGGAGGAGACAGACTGGCATTTCAGAATGTGCAGTCTTGGCAGGTAATTACAACTCTTTTAAAAAGTTTTTATTAATATTTTTCAAATTGATGCATTTCATTAATTTTACAATCATTTAAACATTATAAAACTTGAATTCCTTCCCCCACTTTCTGCGCTTCCTTAAATTTATTTTTTAATATCTTCTGCATATCCAAATTCATTTAATTATCTACTTTAAATATATACTCTTATGAAACTGCAGGTTATTACAATAATCCTGCCAATGTTTTATCTGTTTGAAATTTATCTGTAAATATTCAATAAACCATTTCCATTCTTTTATAAGAAGTTAGCTTGATTTATTCTTCTTCTGGTAAGTTTCACTATATCTGCATAGTCCATAAGTTTTTGTATCTATTCTTCCTTTGCTGGGACTTCTGCTTCTTTGAATTTTGGGGCGAGCAGCATTCTGGCAGCTGTAGTAACATACATAAATAAATTTCTATACAATTTAGGTAGTTCTGTCCTATAATTCCCAAAAGAAAAGCTTCTGGTTTCATGAACTTTCACCTTTTTGTATCATAAATAAGCGTGGCAGCCAAAAAATATTATCATGACCTTCTAAGTGTAAAATATGTGAATTCTCTAACCTCATCCTTTCCTTCAACCAACAAAGACAGCTTGCCTCATAATATAATCTCATATCTGGTAGGGGGACACCTCCTCTTTCTTTTGCATCTATCAATATTTTATATTTTATTCTTGGGTTTTTCTCTTGCCAAATATATTTAGAAATATCTTTTTGCCATGCATTGAAGCAATCTGTCCTGCCAATCTCTGGAATAATTTGAAACAGAAATAACATTCTTGGCAACACATTCATCTTTATAGTCAACATTTTACCTAATAATGAAAGATTCATTCTGTCCCAAATTTGCAAATTTCTTTTAATATCTTCCCAGGTTTTTAGATAATTGTCTTTATAGAAATTTTCTATTATTTTCTGTTACCCATATACCTAAATATTTAACCTTTCTTTCAATTTTTAAACCAGATACATCTTGTAATTTGTTTTTACTCTCCTCCTTCATATTTTTAACCAAAAATTGTTTTTTTCTTTATTAAGATTTATTATATTTATTATATTTATCTTAAGACCTGCTACCTCACCAAATGTTGTTATCTCTGGTAATACTTTGGGGGTTGACTCTATTGGTTCATCTACAGATATCACCACGTCGTCTGCAAATGCTTTTAATTTATATTGTCTCTGTTCCACTCTTACACCTTTAATATCTTGATTGCAACTTATTATTTGTGCTAATACTTCTAAAACTATTATAAACAACAAAGGTTGTTGTTTGTTTGTTTGTTGTTTATAATAGGTAATTACAACTCAAAACTTTTTTTAAAAAACCATGCTAAATTTTGTTCCAAAGTCACTCTAGTTTTGCAGAATCCAATTCCATTTAAAATAAACAAATGTGTGGGGCTTTCTTTTATGTTCCGTTTTCGACTAAAGGAACCAAAATGATATCAAGGCATATCAAGTCACCATGTTTTTAAAATAAAAAATGAGTATGAGAGGCATTTGTGAACCTCACTTAAATCATTGCAGTACCTTGATCCCCTTGTTCATATTTTCGTTCAATCTAGGTGCATCAGTTTCTAAAGAGTATGGTAATCAATAATAGTGCTGGAGACACAGTGCGCTTTGATGAAAATGGTGAACAAGTTACTGGATTTGATGTTACAAACTGGGTGATGTTCCCCAATGGCTCTGTGGTTCGAGTCAAAGTTGGAGGACTGGAACCTCAGGCTCCTCTGGGCAAAGAATTAACCATTCATGATGACCTGATTGTTTGGCATCCAAGATTTAATCAGGTGCGACACAGCTACAAATACTTGCGTATATAAAAGGGGGGGAAACCCATTTTTTAAATCAGTTTATCATTTGACATGCTGTTCAGCTTCTGAATGATTCTAGTTAGCATTATATATATATAGCAGCTCCTTCCCTTCTAAGTAAAAGAATATAAATTGTTTGGCAGCTAAACAGGTGAGCCATAACTGCAAACACTTCCATATATGAAATGAAAAGGACCGCTTGCTGTTCTCTGAGCTGGGGACGAACCTCTGGCCTCAAGCGACTCTTGGGGGATGATTCTCTCTCCTCCTCCAGTCTCACGGGTTGCTGAGGGCTTAGTGCAAACATCTTGTAAGGTATTTCCAAATTCTGGACATGATGACAATAATGCATTTTTAATGGTCAGTCTCACCAAACCAATGAAACAAATTTGTGGAAGCTGATTCAGATCTGATCCTTGCTTACTCTTCATTTAACCCTGCCCCTCTTGGGGCCGCCTGGTTCCTGTTGCTCCATTGGTGAAGCCAGCTCAGTTCTAAGTGAAGAGACTCAAGAATGAGAGAGAGAGAGAGACTAAATGAGAGAGACTCAAGAAGTGCTCTTTTCAACCTCCCATTTTTTTAAAAAATGTGGTTAGGTTTCAAGAGGGCATAACTCTAACCATTGATTTTGAATGTTGTTACAGTTTTCCAATCATATTTGGAAAAAAGAAAGTTGGTTCCATCAGAGAAAAATTAGCCACTGCCTCCATTTGTTTTCCTCTCCCAAAGCCCTTCTGGTTGAATAATATATGACATTAAAAACCAAGAGAAAATTAGGTAAACTTCATGCACAGGATTAAAAATAATTCAGTATCAAGCATAAAATAGCAGAGAATCAACTGGAAAAAATGTGATACATGATATGTAAAATAATATATTCATTCTGAAGCAAGGTAGTCTATCTAATGTCTACTGAATGCAGTTTCAACCCTGGTGAGGCTCATCCTCAAGCCCACCGAGTGGCAGTGAAGGCAGCCAAGAAGGCATCCTTGCTCCCAGGAGGTGGAGGTGGAGTGGCAGAGCTGAGCCGTTGGCTTCTTCTTTAGTCTCCCTTTCACGTGATACAGAAGAAGGCATCTCTCTTATTCCTCATCTCCCTGTTTCTGCACAGGTGCTGCCTGTTTCTCTGTGCAATGACTACTGCTATCCTGGCTACAGCAAGAAAAAGAAGGAGGGAGAGAAATTCTGCTGCTATGATTGTGTTCAGTGTCCAGAAGGGACGATCTCCAACCAGGAGGGTAGGAAGCTATATGTACATAGATACTAATAATTTTCGATAATGTAGCATAGTAATTATTTATTTGAAGAGTATATCTGTCAGGGGTTCAGGGAGAGAGGCACAGGGTAGGCAGGAGATGGAGAGCGATGGGGAGGAATTCCAAGCCAGCGAGGAAGAGGATGACAATGACTCAAGAGATTCCATGAGTCTTTCCAGCGAATCAGAGGATTCCCAGAAGGGGGCGCCGGTGGTCAAGGCCAGGGGAGCCCCAGGGGGGAAGTGTCAGGAGCAGGGTGCCAGCGGAAGATCCCAAAGTGGCAGCTGGGCGTCAGGACCAGCCTCCCCACCAGAATGCAGCGAAGGGGGTGGAGTTTCCAGTGTGTCAGAGGAAGCAGCTCCAGCAGCAGAGAAAGGAGGGGGGGTCAGAGCAAGCCGCCCTCCTGGAAGGGGGGGAGCAGTGAAGGGAGTAGTGTAACTGTCAAAAGGAAAGTTAGAGGTTTGGCGCGCGCGCCTGGTTCAAATGTAGAGGCGCGCGGAAGTGCAGGGAGCCCGGAGGAGGGGCCAGGTCCCAAAGCCCGCAGGAGGGGGAAGAGCAGTCTGGGGATTCCGCGTCAGAGGAATCCAGGAGGGGCGAAACCCCAGTGGGCAGAAGGACCCTGCGGAAAAGGAAGGAGAGAAAGAGGTGGAGCAGCGCAAGTCTCTTAAATTGGTGCAGGGGAGGAACTGACTCAGAGGGGACTTCGGCGGTCTAGCGTAAGAGACGTAAGGCTGCGCGCCTAGGATGTCAAGCAAACCATGAACTGCAATAAACACTTTTGTATATAAGAAGACAGAGGCGTTGGTCTTTTGTGAGCTAAGACTTGAGGCAGCCTTGACAGTAAGTCCCCTCTCTCAACAAAAAAACCGCAAAATTTTTTTTGCACAGCTCATGAAGTTTGGCAGCAATGACTACTGAGGAGCAGATAGCGTCCCTGCAAACTGCAGTCACCGAGCTCTCCACTGCTGTCGTGGTTTCTCAGAAGACAGTTGCTGAAGCAGAAGCGCGATGCCAGGATCTGCAAGCCAGGTGGGATCGGGCGTGCAGAGAGGGGTTCCCGGGGTCCAGATCAGAGGGAATCGGACTCGGACGGAGGGGGGGCAATTTAGTAGCCCACTTCGATGGGAACCTGAAGCATTATCCCAATTTCAGAGCAGACGTCGTATACGCACTGCATTTACTTCGAAAAGACTTCAAAGATGAGGAGGAAAAAGTGGGGTTTATCGTGTCTCATCTGCATGGGGAAGCAAGAAACTGGTTACGCAATTTGTGGCGCGAAGATGGTCTTGCACGCAGGGACTCTGATGAATTTCTCAAAGCCATGGACGCTTGCTTCCAATCTACTGTTGACGTTGATGTGGCACGCCAGGAGATGCATGGATTGCGGCAGGGCAAGGCTACAGTGCGTCAGTACCATTCTCGCTTTTTTGCATTGCTGAATGTGCTGGGCTGGGAAAAGGACTCCCTGGCAGTGAGGGACTTGTTTTGGGAAGGGCTTCATGGCTCAGTGAAAGATGAGCTGGCTAGGGGAGACAGACCTCAAACCCTAGCAGAAGTCGTGCAGAGGGCACTCACGATAGGGGTGCGCCAAGAAGAACGCCCTTGGCACAGGGAGGAGGGGCGTCACGTCCGCCCACCAGCTAGAGCACCTCCTTTTCCTTCCAGGGACTTGGAACGTTCAAGCCTTTCGCCTGTGCTGGCAGCTGGGGAAGAACTGATGGAACTGGGTGGTGCAAAGGCTCAGACAGCTGCCGGAGCCTCAGCGTCAGGAGCAGTCAAAGCGAAGCCTCCTAGAGGGACCAGGAAGTGTTACATCTGTGACAGTGCACGGCACATGGCTAAAGAGTGTCCCCAGAGGCTCCAGAAGCACACTGCAGCCTTAGCAACAGTAACAGTAAGCTTTCCAAGGGGAGCAGTTTCAGGGAAACGAGAATGCCCGGTTGGAGGGAGAGACGCTGGGGCTCCGCCAGGCAACTCAGCAAAGCAGTCCCCACCGCCTATGCAGCCTACAGACCCCTTACCACCTAAGCCAGTGGTGCAGCTCACTGCTACTCTCCAGCTGCCTAATGGACTCACCCTGGAAGTCCCCATTACGATTGACTCAGGGAGCAACGCAGACTTCGTGGGGGTGCAGTTCGTCAAGCAGCATCGCATAGCCTTACTACCAGCCACGCTGCCTCTGAATGTGGTCACTGTAGATGGCAGGAAGTTGCTGGGTGGGCAAGTGGTACAACAGACGCCACCCATGCTGCTGAAAATTGGGAATCATCGCGAGGTCATCAGTTTCAATGTCACCCAACTGTCAGACACGCCCATAGTGTTAGGCATGAGTTGGCTGGATAGACACAGCCCATCCTTGGCGTGGTACCAGCGGCAGCTCACCTTTGGCTCGTCCTACTGTGCACAACATTGCATCCAGATCGGCCAGGACGAGGAGGGAACGGAGGAAGGACAACAGCTGCATCTAGGCATGGTGCAGGCAGTGCCCCACAAGTACAAGGGGTTTTTGGAGGTCTTCTGCGAGAAGGAAGCTGACCAATTACCACCCCACCGGCCCTACGACTGTGCAATTGACCTCTTACCAGGGGCGACGCTGCCGACTGCGAAGCTGTATTCCATGTCTGAAGATGAGATGCAGGAGCTCAGGGAGTTCATAGATCACAATTTGAAGAGGGGATTCATCCAAGAATCCAAGGCAGTGGGGGGCAGTCCTGTGTTTTTCGTGAAGAAGAAGGACACGCCCCAAAAACGGCTCATTGTGGACTATAGGGCCATAAACTCGATGACAAAACCCAAGGCTTTCCCTATGCCCAAGATTGACGACCTGCTCGCGACGGTGAGGAAGGGGAGGATCTTCACCAAGTTGGATCTACGCGGAGCATACAATCTCATACGCATGAGGGAAGGTGACGAGTGGAAGACGGCCATGTTCACGCCGCTGGGCACCTATGAATACAGAGTTATGCCGTTTGGTCTCCAAGGTGGCTCCCACTGTTTTCAAGCATTCATGCACCACGTGCTAGCAGGACTCCTCTACAAGAAGTGCGTATGTGTCAGGGGTTCAGGAGCAGAGGCAAGGGCAAGGGAGGAAACAGAGAGCGAGGGGGAGGAGGCAGAAGAAAAGATGAGTGATGACGACGACCCGAGATCTCCGAGTCTTTCCAGTGAATCAGAAGATTCACAGAAAGGAGCACCAGTGGCCAGGGCAAGGGGGAGCCTAGGGGACGCCCCAGGAAGATAGAGCCAGAGGGGACTCAGCAGGGAGCAGTTGGAAATCGGGACCAGCGTCACCGCCAGAGAGCAGGGAAGAGGAAGGGAGCCAGGGATCAAGCGCTGGCAGCTCACAACAGGGGGGAGGGCACGAGTCAGGAGTGGCCACACCTCCATCGGGGAGCGAAGAAACGGTCAGACGGAAGGTGGAAGGTTGGGCGCGCGCGCCACGTTCAAATGCACAGGAAGGTGGCACAGTAGGCAGCCCGGAAAGGGAGCCAGGTCCTAAAGCCCGCCGAAAGGAGGGAGAAGAGTCAGGGGGGTCAGCGTCAGCGTCAGAGGAATCCCGGAAAGAAGAGACCCCAGGGGGCAGAGGGACCCAGAGAAGAACAGTCAGGCGGAAAAGGTGGAGCAGGGCTAGGATATTAAGTTGGTGTACAAGGGGCGGAGACTCAGACGGAGCTTCGCCGGTCCAACCATGAGACGTAGAGTTGCACGCAGCAGTTTGAGAATGGAAACTGTAACTCAATAAAGACTTTTGTTTAATGATCGCTGGCTAGCGTGATCCTCTGTGAGCTAGGATCTGGAAGCAGCTCTGACAGTATGCTTTCTCGACGATATTCTGATCTTCTCAGAATCGCAGGAGACTCACGAAAGAGACGTAAAGGAGGTCTTGCAGAGGCTACGGGAGCACAGACTCTATGCCAAGCTGGAGAAGTGCCAGTTCGACGTGACGGAGGTGGATTTCCTGGGCTACCGGCTGTCCGACAAGGGATTAGCCATGGACAGCGCCAAGGTCCGCGCGGTGTTGGACTGGAATAGCCCGCGCAATCGGAAGGAGGTCCAGAGGTTCGTCGGCTTCGCCAACTTTACCGCAAGTTCATCAGGGTTTCGCGAAAGAGACGGCAGCTATCACGGACACCCTCAGTTCCAAGAAGAAAAAGTTCACCTGGACGGACCAGGCGGAGCAGTCCTTCAGGAGACTTAAGAGTCTCTTCGCGTCCGAAGACCAGCTGCTACACGTGAATCCCGGCAGGCCCATGCGGGTTGAGACTGACGCATCTGACAGAGCAGTGGGGCCGTCCTCTTGCAGGAAGATTCGCAAGAGAACTGGAGGCCCTGCGCTTTCTATTCCCGGAAGCTCAGCAAGTCGGAACAGAACTACACCATCTGGGACAGGGAGTTGTTGGCCATCCACGCGGCTTTCAAGGCGTGGCGGCACTTCCTCATCGGAGCCAAGCACACCGTGCAGGTCCGCACGGACCACAAGAACCTAGAGTATTGGCGCACGGCGAAGCTCCAGAGCCAGAGGCACATGAGATGGGCGGAGTTCTTTGCGGATTTCGATTTCCGGATAGAGTATATCCCGGGAGACAACAACGTCATAGCGGATGCGCTCTCCAGGAAACCGCAGTATCTTGAGGAAGCGGCACCAGTGGCAGCCAGGCACATTTTTGCACCGCAAGCGTGGGCGTGCGCTTCTGCCGCCGTGGACCTGGACGCGGTACGACGCGCGTTACAGACGGATCCGTTTGCACAATCCAAGATGGAGGAGGTGCGAAGAGGGACAGCAAAGGACGGCGAATTCCAGATACGCGACGGCCTGCTGACCCGCAAAGGTGCTCTCTACGTCCCGGGAGACGATCTCCGAGCGAAGGTTTTACAGCAGTTACACAACGCCCCGAGCGCGGGTCACTTCGGCAAGGAGAAGACGGCGGACTTAGTAGCCAGGGACTTTTGGTGGCCCCAGATGCGGGGAGAAGTCGCGGATTACGTCGCCAGGTGTGACACTTGTCAGAGGTCCAAGCCAGTGCACAAGAAGCCAGCGGGATTGCTGGAACCGTTGGAGACGCCACTGCAGCCGTGGGAAAGGGTGGCGCTGGACTTTGTCACTGATCTGCCCAGTTCGCGGGGCAAGACGGCGGTGCTTGTGGTTGTAGATCTGTTCACCAAGATGGCGCATTTCATTCCTTGCGCGAAGGTGGCAACAGCGGAGCAGACCGCCAGGCTATTCATAGACCACGTGTTCCGGGTGCACGGCTTACCACGGTCCATTTTGTCCGACCGGGGTCGCCAATTCATTTCCAGTTTCTGGCAGAAGCTCCTGGGCATCCTGAATGTCAAGATCAACTTAGCGTCGGCGAGACACCCGCAAACCAACGGCCAAGCGGAGAGGGTCAACGCCATCATGCAGCAGTACCTGCGCTGTTACGCCAATCAGAAGCCGGCAACTTGGGTGGACTACTTACCGATGGCCGAGTTTGCCTACAACAACACGAAGCACGCGTCAACGGGGTGACACCGTTCTTCGCCAACAATGGGCGACATCCCAGAACATTCCCGGCGTTGGAGACAACGACACAGGGGGAGTCGCAGGGAGCGGAACATTTAGCAGCAGAATTGCAGGAGGTCCACGAGGAGCTACGACGGCACTTGGAACTGGCTAAACACGCCTACAAAGTGCAGGCAGACAGGCACAGGAGGGCAGGAGAAGACATCCAGGTGGGGGACTGGGTATGGTTAGCAGCCCAGGCGGTGCCGGCCAAGTCGTTAGCTAAGAAGAAGCTAGGACACAAACAGCTAGGGCCATACCAAGTTGAGGGCAGGATCAATCCCGTAGCTTTCGGTTGACCCTCCCAGAGGATTCCCGAATGCACCCGGTCTTTCATAGGTCGGTGCTTACACCCTACAAGGCCCCACACCGATTTCAGGAGCCAGGGACGGCACCAGACCCACGTAGGAAGTCACCAGGGGGGGGGGAGTCACCGAGGACCCCGACACTCAACGAGGTCACGGAAATTCTGGACTCGAGATGGGGGGAGGAGGGAGTGGAATACCTCCTCGCCAGGGAAGGTACCCCGGCCAGCGCCAACAGTTGGGTGCCAGATTATGCTCTGGAGGAACCTTTGCTTAAGGACGAGTTCCATGCACTCTTCCCACACAGGCCCATGCCAGAGGAGTATTTTGACGACTGGCTTTACCCCCACACTTTCAGGCAGCACCTTCCGGGGGTTCTCCTCCGCAGAGGAGACCACGCCGCAATCGAGCCCTCCAAGGGGATCGTGCTCGGGGGTAGACACGGACCGCTCTTATTGGTGGGACGATCAACCAGAAGTGGGGTGGCGAAGGGGGCCTTGGCAAGCAGCTTCGCCTGAAGTAACAGGGGGAGGGAAGGGTTTGGAGGTGTTGGGGGAGGACCCTGGTTTCGAGCACTCCTACACTGAACTGGAAGCAGAGGAGATCGACGTCGACGAACTGTATCCAGCATCTACCCCCGCTACAACGAAGCTCCCGGAACCTGCGCCCGAGCAGCGGGAGGGGGGAAGGGGGCTTCGAGGGGGATGGATGTCAGGGGTTCAGGGAGAGAGGCACAGGGTAGGCAGGAGATGGAGAGCGATGGGGAGGAATTCCAAGCCAGCGAGGAAGAGGATGACAATGACTCAAGAGATTCCATGAGTCTTTCCAGCGAATCAGAGGATTCCCAGACGGGGCGCCGGTGGTCAAGGCCAGGGGAGCCCCAGGGGGGAAGTGTCAGGAGCAGGGTGCCAGCGGAAGATCCCAAAGTGGCAGCTGGGCGTCAGGACCAGCCTCCCCACCAGAGTGCAGCGAAGGGGGTGGAGTTTCCAGTGTGTCAGAGGAAGCAGCTCCAGCAGCAGAGAAAGGAGGGGGGTCAGAGCAAGCCGCCCTCCCGGAGGGGAGGGGAGCAGTGAAGGGAGTAGTGTAACTGTCAAAAGGAAAGTTAGAGGTTTGGCGCGCGCGCCTAGTTCAAATGTAGAGGCGCGCGGAAGTGCAGGGAGCCCGGAGGAGGGGCCAGGTCCCAAAGCCCGCAGGAGGGGGAAAGAGCAGTCTGGGGATTCCGCGTCAGAGGAATCCAGGAGGGCGAAACCCCAGTGGGCAGAAGGACCCTGCGGAAAAGGAAGGAGAGAAAGAGGTGGAGCAGCGCAAGTCTCTTAAATTGGTGCAGGGGAGGAACTGACTCAGAGGGGACTTCGGCGGTCTAGCGTAAGAGACGTAAGGCTGCGCGCCTAGGATGTCAAGCAAACCATGAACTGCAATAAACACTTTTGTATATAAGAAGACAGAGGCGTTGGTCTTTTGTGAGCTAAGACTTGAGGCAGCCTTGACAATATCTTACACTGAATTGCTGTCCATTGTGCCTTACCATCACACAGAGAAACATTTAGCTATTACAAAGCATGAACTCAAACATGAACACGTGAACACAGAAAGATTCATTCTCACTACTGGGAATGCTTTTCTTGAAGTAGTTAAAAGAATTTCAGGAAGGTAGAAAATGAATCTGACTCTTCTAATGTACTGTTCAGGTAATAATTGGTAAATGTCTAGAAATAACCAGCTTTTCATTCCTCCCCTCAGATATGGAAGCTTGTATCAATTGTCCAGAAGACCAGTATCCCAGCAAGGACTACAGTCAATGTATTCCCAAAGTTCTAAACTACCTCTCTTACCAAGAAAATTTAGGGATTATCTTGGCTATCTTGGCCATTTCTTTCTCTTTCATCACAGTTTTAGTGCTGGGAAGTTTTGTGAAACTCAGGAACACGCCCATCGTCAAGGCCAACAACCGGACCCTCACTTACACTCTCCTCATCTCCCTTCTTCTTTGCTTCCTCTGTGCTTTGCTCTTCATTGGGCAGCCAGGAAAATGGATCTGCCTTCTACGCCAAATGGTCTTTGGCATTGTCTTCTCTGTGGCTCTTTCCTGCGTATTGGCAAAAACCATCACCGTGGTTCTGGCATTCATGGCAACCAAGCCAGGATCTGGGATGAGGAAATGGGTGGGGAAAAGACTGACCATTTCAATTGTCCTCTCCTCCACCTTCATTCAAGCTGCCATTTGTGCTCTGTGGTTAAGTACTTCCCCTCCATTCCCAGACAGGGACATGCAATCCTTGAATGGGAAGATCATATTGGAATGCAATGAGGGTGCATCTACCATGTTTTACTGTGTCTTGGGCTATATGGGTTCCCTGGCCATAATCAGCTTCATTGTGGCTTTTCTGGCCAGGAAATTACCCGATAGTTTCAATGAAGCCAAATTTATCACTTTCAGCATGTTGGTGTTTTGTAGTGTTTGGTTGTCCTTTGTTCCAACCTACATGAGCACCAAAGGGAAATACTTGGTGGCCGTGGAGATCTTCTCCATCTTATGCTCTAGCGCTGGCTTACTGGGTTGCATCTTTTCCCCCAAATGTTACATACTTTTGTTGAGGCCTGATCTGAACAACAGAGAGCAAATAATGGCCAGAAAAAGCGAGAAAATGTAAGTTCATCTCCATGTTATGCTCACTTAGAAAATTCACTGGAAGTCCATATCATGATATTTTAAAATATTAGTGCTTTAATAAAAAGAAGTCCTTGCTCAAATGTATCCTTCTGAGTATAGTTGTACTAGACACACATTAGGTCAATGCCCTATTTTGAATTGACTTACATACACCCACATGCAGACAATTCCAACAAGAAAGAAAAGTGGGACTCATCTAAAGAAACCAGTGGGGTTGCATAAGGAACTTACAGAAGAGCTGAGAGTTAAAGAAGGGCATGTGTCAGGGCTGCATAAGAAATGGAAGAAAGGGGGAATATACATGAGTAGCCAAAGTTTGCAAAGTGAAGGTCAGGCTGGCTAAAGCTCAGAATGAGCTCAGGCTTACAAGAGAGGTTAAAAATAATTTTTAAAATGTTTTTTTGTCCATGTCCGAAGTAAGACGAAGAACAAGCAAGTGGTAAGTCTTCTGCGGGAAAAGACAGAGAAATGCTATTGGGTGACAAACACCTACTTTGCCTCTGTCTTTGCCCAAAAGGAAAGTGATGCCCTACCTGGTGATGACACAATAAGTGATGCAAGGAGGGAGCTGCAACCCAAGATACGAAAAGGGGTGGTAAGGGAACACCTAGATACTTTAAATGAATTCAAATCTCCAGGGCCTGATGAGCTGCATCCAAGGGTACTAAAGGAGTTTGTGGGTGTAACCTCAGAGCCTCTGGCTATAATCTTTGGGAATTCTTGGAGAACAGACTGGAAGTGGGCAAGTGTTCCCATCTTCAAAAAAAAATAAAAAGGAGGGGGAGAGAAGACTCAGCAACTACCAACCAGTGAACTTAACATCAATACCAGGAAAGGTCCTAGAACAGATAATTCAACAGTTGGTCTGTGAGCACTTGGAAAAGGATGCTATGATTACTAAGACCCAGGAGGGGTTTCTCAAAAACAGGTCATGCCAGAAGAATCTCATTTCTTTCTTTTTTTAAAAAAGCTTGGTGGATCAGGGGGATGCTGTGGACATAGTGTATATGGATTTCAGTAAGGCTTTTGACAAAGTCCCCACTGGTATTCTTGCAAGGAAGATGGTAAAATGTGGGTTGAATGTGGTAACTTTTAGGTGGATTCGTAGCTGGTTGACTGACCAAACCCAAAGAGTACTCACTAAGGGTTCCTGGAAAAAGACAAGAAGTGTTCTCCAAAACACATTGAAGGGGAAAGGACAGCCTCAGAACAATATTTCTCCCCTGCAACCTACCCCAGAGAGTTGCCCTCTGTTGAAGAAGCCTTTCAGATAGTGGTGGAAATAAACTTTAAGCTGCTTTGAAGCCACCATGTCACTGCTTTCCTTTAGAGGGATATGGAACACAAGGCTGGGATGTATAGGAGAATAATGAATTTGCAGTCCTTAGCTTGGTTCCTACCCTGTAAGGAACAGACTGCAAATGGAGTGAAAGTAGAAGCCTAGAAAGGAAGAAAGGGGGCATATTTCAAGGGATACAGCCCATAAATTCTCCCCAAAACACCTCCCTCCATGGAAGCAGAAAGAAGATCCTTTCATCCAAAAGAGGATAAAACCACCCCCAGAAGCCCCCAGTGAGTTCTCCATGAAAAGACGTCTGGGATGACCCAAGCCCCAAAATTCTAACAGTCCAAGCTGCATAGATGCACAGCCACATTGTGCTCCATAAAGGAAAGGGTGGTCCCTCCCTCGACACCCCCCCCAGCTAAAAATGGCAGAAATTTGTTCCTTCTTCAACACAGAAATGTAGGAGTCACCCGAAGAAGGGGCCAAGATGGACATACCTCTCCCCACTCACCAAATAAGATGTGAGATGCCCTCCTTCTTATCTATATGAAACCACTGGGAGACCTCAGCAGCGGGTTGGGGCTGAGTGTTCATCAATATTCAGATGATACTCAGCTCTACCTCTTGTTTAAATTGGAACCAGTAATGGCAGTGAAGGTCCTATGTGAATGTCTGGAAGCAGTTGGAGGGTGGGGCTGGTTAATGGATTGAAACTGAATCCCAACAAGACAGAAGTACTGTTTCTGGGAGACAGGGGACGAGCAGGTGTGGGGAAACTAAAAGACCAGGCACACAGTGTGGGGGTCATTTTGGATTTACAGCTGTCCATGGAGGCGCAGGTCAACTCTGCGTCCAGGGTGACTGTCTACCAACTCCATCTGGTATGCCAGCTGAAACTCTACCTTCCTGGCCACTGTCTCGTCAGAGTATTACATGTTCTGGTTTTCTCACATTTGGGCTAAAAGATCTACAATGACTCCCAGTACATTTCCCAGGACAATTCAAAGTGTTGGGGTTGATATTTAAAGTCCCTCACAGCTTCGGCCCTGTGTACCTGAAGGAGTGTCCCCACCCCTTGGTCAGCCCATACACTGAGGCCCAGCTCTGAGAGCCTTCTGGTGCTTCCCTCACAGTGAGATTACAGGGAACCAGGCAGAAGGTTTGTGGAACTATATAAATTTTCATCTGAAGGCAGCCGTATCCTGGGAAGCTTTTAATGTGTAAACACAGTCATAGTATTGTAAAGCTGGATGGGACACCAAGGGGCATCCAGTCTTACCCCCTACAATGCAGGAAACCTTCCCACAGCCATCCCTGGGTAGGGTTGAAGTAACAAATTTCTGGTTAACAGCCAGATGCACTGACCCATTTCAGGTTGTTGTTGTTCCTGTTACAATATAGAAACAATGCTGCTGCGAGCTGCTTGTTTGAAAACATCACATGATGTTGGGACTGTCCGTGGGAAACAGAGGGCACCGGAATTAGCTCAGAGTGTAATATGAGCTGTACAGGAAGTGTTTGCTCTCTCGACTGCTGGAGTTTGAAGAGAGCAGTCATGTTTTTTTGTAATGCTGCAAAGACAGAAATAAAGGCATGTAAATACGTTTCTGTCTATCTCTTTCCCCTGCTGGGGGGGCAACAAAGAGGGGGGGTGTTCTTCTCACGCTGAGAAGGATCGCCTATCGCGACCTCTGCCTGGATCCTGCCGGGAAAGCAGACAGAGAGGTCAACAGGAGACCAAGCCGGGTGCCTGGGAGAGTTGCCAGTTTCTCCTGATAAAGGCTTGAATCTCAACAGTTCCCTGTATTTTTGTTGGAAGCCACCCAGAGTGGTTGGGTAGGGTATAAGAAACACACATGATGACGATGATGATGATTCTGTATTATTTTTGGTATTGACATTTCTATCCCCTGAAACGTGTCCATGGCACCAAAACATAATGCAATTATGAAATAAAACAGTGAGAATATAGGAAGAGCCTGGCTGTTGGATTAGACCAATGACTCATCATTAACCCACATCCTGGTCTCACAGGGACCAACCAAATGCCTCAGCTGAAAGCCCTGGCTGGACTGAAGCGCAGCAGCATTTCCCCCTGTGGAGGCAGAGCATGGGCATCATGGCTAGCAGCATGTTAAAGATTTAAGCCCTCCCAGTCTCTTGAAAAAGCGGGATCAGCCCCATTGGGACCCTCCTGCCCTAACTGTCTGTTTTGCTGCTATGAGGTACAGACTGTTAGACTAGTTGGGTCTTTGGTCTGATCCAGCTGCAGGGCTCTCATTAGGTCTGTGTGAGAAAAGTTCAGGCCAAACTCCCCCCCCCCCAATAACACACACACACACACACACACACACACACACTGAGTTATGCCACATATATGAGAAACATGTTTTTCTCCAGCTCTGCACCTGCCTCTTCAGCCATTCAAAACTCCAGAAAGTTATTGAGGTGAAACTTCTTCCACTTGTAATTATCAAAATCATAGTGATTTCTTCTTTTAAAAGCTCCAGAGATATTTCTGGAGATTGCATAAGCATCAGAAACAACAACAACATGATATTAATGACACCGTGACAGTGAAAGAAAACATTGCTGAAGAGGATATTTCCTGTGTCGGAGACAGACTGAGCCATGATTTAGTGCAAGCGAAAGGCTGGGGAAAGAGGAATATATGTGTAAGGTGCAGAGCCAGAATGAGATCCCTGCTGCTTCTGTTGCTGCTTCTGCTGCTAACGATGCACCATGTAGTCTGCAGGAACCAGAAGGCAAAATGCCCCTTGAATCTGGTCAGGGATCAGACTGATGCTTGCAGCTATTACCGGGCTGGTGACTTTCTCATTAGTGGCATTGTATCTTCAAAACATTTTGTTAATCAAGATGCATATGTCTTTTCCAAGACACCCTTCACCAGCACTGAGAAGTATGTCATCCTGTACAGAGGGATGTCATGCTTACCAGTACTTCTGCCGTGGTTCCTATTTATCAAGGAAATAGCCCTTATTTCAGAGTTGGGGGGGCTGGGGGCCCTCTTGATGTCACTGGACTAGAACCCCCATCATCCCTGACCAGTAGCCTACTGGCTGGGCTTCATGGGATTTGGAAGCTGGGAAAAGAGTCTCCTCAAAACCTCTCCTATTTACTTGTTCCCTGGGTCTTCCCTAGTAAAATACTCTACTCATGCTGCTGTGTTGCATTTTGAAGGTGGTAAAACAATAATGTAAATGAATGTGGTCTGGAATCAAAAGAATGCACTGAATTATCCCACCTGCGGGGTGGCACAAAACTCAGGCAGTCACCAAGCTTCAATGATTTTATTTATTATTATTCTATTTGGACAATTTATAAACTATTTAATCAGAGTTGTCTTTAAGGAATGTAACGGTTTAAAACATTTTAAAACCCTCTGTGTGACTTTTCATGCTGAAAAGCAGGAAAAAATATGCTTTGAATTAAACAAATGAAATAATGCAGGTAATATGACTTAATTGTTAGTGGAGTCAGATCTCTAAAATGTGAACAAGAAATATTCATTTTTTTCACACACACATTTCCAACACCACAGGCTTCATCTGTAATTAAAGAGGCGTTTTCTGCTTCCTCTCTAGGACACAAATTGTTCCTAACCAACTGTTTTCTAACTTTGTGGTCATTTTTGGCAAAACCCTCCTCCTCCTTGACCCCCATTTTTCCTTCTGAAGAACAACTGAGGAATTTACACAGCTCCTCCGGGAAGCAGCCAAGACCACTGAAGCAAAAGCAACCTTTGCGGCTTCACAGTATTTCACAAACTTCATTTTTTAATCAGTTTTATTACATGGAGACTCTGCGTCTGTTCTCCTGTAATGGAGCATGAATTGCCCAATCTTTATTGTATAATGGACAGGAAAAAATATTGGATATAAATGCAATAAGATAATTAAATAAATACTAATCTCTGTTGGTCAGATAATGTTTGTTTTCATTCAGCTGTGAATTGTAGCTTTATACTTCTTTATTCCTTTATTGTAGAGAGTCACCTTGGTTCTACTGGCGCGTATCGTCCTTCTTGTTCACCATCCAGGAGATCAACCAGGATCTCAGGCTCTTACCCAACATCACCCTGGGCTACAGCCTCTATGAGAACTACGCAGATGCAAGGATGACTTCAGATGCCATGCTAGAGCTGCTTACAGGCAGGGGAAGCAATATTCCCAATTATCACTGTGGCGATCCAAATGACTTGCTAGTTGTTCTTGAAAGGGGAAATTCTGCCATCTCAAAAGAGATTTCAGCCATGTCAAGCATCTACAAAATCCCACAGGTATGAAGGGGTAGGGTATGGAAGGTCAGAGAATTTGAAATGCATACAGTAATCTTTTCATTTCCTCACTAGATCAGTTATGGCTTCACTGCCCAGGGTCTTGAAGATAAAACTCAGTTCCCTTTTGTCTACCGGATGCTCCCCAAAGAGAAAACTCAGCACCAAGGCATTGTCGAGTTGCTCCTGCATTTTGGATGGACGTGGATTGGCCTCTTGGCTCCGGACAATAACAGTGGAGAAATGTTTGTGAGCGCCTTGACACCTCTGCTGATCAGCAAAGGGATTTGCATTGCCTTATCAAAAATAATAAAAGAAAATGATCTAGCACTTAGGATCAGCCCAGGTGAACCTTTTTTCATCTGGAGACAAGTCAGTGTATTTGTTTGCTATGTATCTGACACAGTGGGAATCTTCAAAATTGTGTCGATACAAGAAATGTATGAAAAGGAAATAGGGGCGAAAGTCTGGATCACAACATCTTTTCCGGAAATCAGTATTAGCTTGTCTATTCCCCCTATGTACTTCCAGTACATTCATGGGTCTCTCTCCTTTGTAACGAAGACCAGAATAAAGAGCACAAAACGTGATTACTATGCAGTACTTTCCCATCTTCTTCAGCATTTTCTGGGGAAAATGTTTCATTGTTCATATTCAAAGCATGTGTTGTCTGTGAAAGGCCAGACAAGATGCAGAGAGGAGGAGAACCTGGAGGCTCTGCCGCAAGAGGAGCTGGAGAGAGCCCTGTCTCAGGACAGCTACAGCACTTACATCACTGCTCAGGCTGTGGCTCAGGCCTTCAAGGCTGCATTTTCATCTAGATCAAAGCGGCTGCTGATGGTGGGAAAAGGAAAGAAGGGGGAACATCAAAGGCTACAACCATGGCAGGTATTTTCTTCCCCGTTTTGCAAATTGCAATCCACCATCCTAACTACAATACAATTTAGAGGTCAGGCAAAAAACAACACCCCTCTTTTGGGATTCCGGTGCATATAAAAACCTGTACATGTCATATCCCCCAACATTTCTCTGATGAAAATAGGGATGTCCCATTCCATAATAAGAATTTTACTATTTATATCCCACACCTCTTACTGGGTTGCCCCAGCCACTCTGGGCAGCTTCCTACACATATAAAAACATAATAAAACATTAAACACTAAAAAACCAAAACACTTTCCTATACAGGATTGTCTTCAGATGGCTCAGGGGTTGGATAACTCCATACCCTCCTAACATTTCTCCCACGAAAATAGGGACAGCCTAAGGAAAAGTGGGACATTCGGGGATCAAATCAGAAACCGGGATGGCTTCTCTAAATCAGGGACGTCCCTGAGAAAATAGGGACACTTGGAGAGTCTCCATTCCATGGTTTTATATACTAATTTTGTGTCAAGGCTCGGATCAGTAAGTCAGCAATTAAACATGAAATCACCAGAAGCCAGTAAACTTAACTCTTTATTCAAAGTGAAACAGAAGCAGCTCTGCCCTCATTGTCCCAGTAACACTTCTCTGAAGGTCTGGCCAGATTGAGGCAGTTGCAAGAACTGAAGGTCCCCACTTTCTCTGCCCCCCCCCCCTTGCTACTCCTGCCCAAGTCACTAACCAGACAAAAGGAAGGTAATGTAGACACTGAGAGAAATAAAGAGTCGCTCTGGCCACAGGGCTCAGCAGGGGAGGCTATCAAGGTATACTGAGTCTGATGCCACAAAAGAAATCTGTTGTCAGGGCTGCCAGCCCTGACATCTGTGCTTTGGAATTCTAGGGGTTGTGGAAGTGGGAGAAAGGGGAGAAGTTTCTGCAAAGGCCAGTGGCGGGTTCAGGAGGGCTCTCTCTGCAATGCAAGGCCACTGTGTGGGGCTCTTTGCCACTGAGATGACCATGCTGTAAGATCTGGACTCCCTCCGTCTCAACTTGAAGCTATGGCAGTCTCTACTTGTATTGGTTCTCAAAGGAACCCTGACCCTGGGGGAGCACCTGGAAACACCTTGGAATCTCACTACTGCTCTGCAGGGATTGGGAGTAGTGCATGCCTTGTGGCACTCTTCTAGTTGTTGTTGTTGTTGTTGCTGCTGCTGCTGTTGCTGTTATTGTTGTTGTTAACTGTCCTTTGTCCAAAGATCACAGGGCAGATCACAGCATAAAAATATCGAATGAGAAAAAAACCCTGTAACAATAAACTAAGAAAAGCAAACCAATAACCCTCCTCTCACAAACTCATTTAAAAGGTCATGGATTGATTAATCCACCAACAGTCTGGATGCTTTTGTCAGCACTTAAAAATATGTCATGAAGGCAAGCCTCCCTTCCACAGAAAAGTGCCGCTCTCGTGTTGCCACCTTCTGAACCTCTCGCGAAGGAAGCACAACACAGATGACAAGGGCAGGGTCTGTGCAGGCCTTCTCTGCAGTTACCCTCGTAATGTGCAATAATCTTCACTCGAGATAAAAGGGACTCCTGTGGAAATGCTGCTCTCTCTGCTCGTTCCAATGCACTTATTCCCAAGCACTGTTTTTTAGGATTGTGCCTGTTAGACATTTTGGATGTCTACGTTCTTTGTGAGTTTTAAAATAGTATTGTCATTTGTATTAATCTCATTCTTCAAAGCTCCTTGTTATTTTATAATTATGCTGTCAGGGGTTCAGGGAGAGAGGCACAGGGTAGGCAGGAGATGGAGAGCGATGGGGAGGAATTCCAAGCCAGCGAGGAAGAGGATGACAATGACTCAAGAGATTCCATGAGTCTTTCCAGCGAATCAGAGGATTCCCAGAAGGGGCGCCGGTGGTCAAGGCCAGGGAGCCCCAGGGGGGACGTGTCAGGAGCAGGGGGCCAGCGGAGGATCCCAAAGTGGCAGCTGGGCGTCAGGACCAGCCTCCCCACCAGAGTGCAGCGAAGGGGGTGGAGTTTCCAGTGTGTCAGAGGAAGCAGCTCCGGGAGCAGAGAAAGGAGGGAGGTCAGAGCAAGCCGCCCTTCCGGAAGGGGAGGGAGCAGTGAAGGGAGTAGTGTAACTGTCAAAAGGAAAGTTAGAGGTTTGGCGCGCGCGCCTAGTTCAAATGTAGAGGTGCGCGGAAGTACAGGGAGCCCGGAGGAGGGGCCAGGTCCCAAAGCCCGCAGGAGGGGGGAAGAGCAGTCTGGGGATTCAGCGTCAGAGGAATCCAGGAGGGGCGAAACCCCAGTGGGCAGAAGGACCCTGCGGAAAAGGAAGGAGAGAAAGAGGTGGAGCAGCGCAAGTCTCTTAAATTGGTGCAGGGGAGGGACTGACTCAGAGGGGACTTCAGCGGTCTAAGCGTAAGAGACGTAAGGCTGCGCGCCTAGGATGTCAAGCAAACAATGAACTGCAATAAACACCTTTGTATATAAGAAGACATAGGCGTTGGTCTTTTGTGAGCTGAGACTTGAGGCAGCTTTGACATATACAAATACTTTAATCCAGAGGTTTTCAGCCTTTTTTCAGTCCACAGCTCCCTTGACGAGCCACATTCTTTCTGTGGCTCACCAGTGGAGAAACAAGCTCCAGACCTCAGAAGCCCAGTTATTTCAACCTTTGCCTGCAGATCAGGCAGCCCCTCGCCCCTTTTCAAATACCCTCCCTTGTGGAGTGTTCCCTCAGCCTCCTCTCCTCTTCTGTCCCTTCTCCTTGGGAGTCCTGCAGGCAGCCCCCACAGCCGTCCCTGATCCCTGAGCCACCCCCCACCTCAAAGAAAGATGACTCCTCATGCGGCCCCATGGGGGCCTGGAAAGAGGATGCCCCCAGCCTTAGTGGTCCCACAAGCACAAGAAAGGCCAGTGTGGTGCCTGCCTGCCTGGCCTCCCACTTCTTTGTCCCTTCCACAAAGCAAGGGCTGGTGGACTGGCTGGCTGGGCTTCCTCGCCCACCTGCTTGCCTACTCCAAGGCACCTCAGCTCCTGGCACCCAGCACCCCCTGGCCAGCCCCAGAGGCACCATTCGTCTGGGGAGCTTGTAGACAAGCTTGTAGCCGCTGCAACAAACAGCTGTGCAAGCCTTTGGGAGGCAGAGATGCAAGAGGGCACAACAAAGGAAGGAGGGAAGGAAAGAGGGATGGAGGCCAGTGTTGCTCACGGCACCCCTGACTATCATCCCCTGACACCCCAGGGTGCCATGGCACACTGGTTGAAAACTCCTGCTTTAATCAATCAAATGAAATGCCTGAATAGGGCTTCTAGTCTAGATGAGTTTAGCCCCAGTTTATAAGTCAGTAGAACTAAGATATTCAACATGGTTTCTTAATACTGCCTTCCCTGTCGTTCCAGCTTCATCCTTTCTTAAATGAAATTCAGTGTTTCAATACTTCCAGGGGCAGACTTTGTTTGGATGAGAATTGGGAGCTGCCTTCTGACTTTGATATAAAGAATTTGGTGATGTTTCCCAATGAGTCTCGTGCGATGGTGAACATTGGGGGCATCAGGAGAGAGGAATCGAGTGTAATAAAGTTCACCATTAATCCAGAAGCTATTGAGTGGCCTAATAAATTTAACAAGGTAGGGGGTGTAACAGACGAAGAGGGTAGGAGAGCCTGCTTAGGCTCTTCCTTGAGCAACTGCTGTAAAATGTCATTTTGTGGTCAGCCAATGGTGCTTTAACATGACTCCTCATGTTATGAACCCCTGGAAAGTGTGGGTTCACTGCAGGCCATGGGAAAATCATGGGCCACTGGACCCAACCTTTCAGAAGGGTCCTCAGCAGCCTGGGCCAGCTCTCTTGCCATGAACATCCTCTGCCTTGCAACCCCTGCAGGGCTGTTCAGATATTAAATTAGATGGGAGAAAGCTGCAGAAATCACCTTGTGATCATTGGAGGAAAGGTCAGAGGATGATGATAGCAGTGATGATGATTATGATCGCCAGAGGGGGAACTTCTCTGTTATGTAGGAGCTTCCCACAAGAGGTTCATTTCTCCCCTTCTTTCCCAGGACTCAAAATTTATTTTAATAATGATCCAAGAGTCAGTTTTTCATTACTGTATTCAGGTGTCAGTATTTTCAATTAGTAATCGTCATCAGTTTGTTCTGTAGCTGCCCTTTTCTTAATGCTGTGATTCTAGGATTGCTATCTGCTTTATGTATATTTTGTCTCCTGCCTTGAGCAGACCTTTGTATAGAAAAGTGTGATATAAATGTTAAAACAAGCAAGCAAACACACCCAAGTGGTCTCCCTGCCATGCTATTCTGCATCAAAAACGATTCTCCGCCAGAGTGGATGGGGTGAGTGGGATGAGAGATCCTGTTTGGTGGGTCATTTCCAAATTCTATGAGGGAATTCCATCTGCACAAATACTCCGGACACTTTCCCCTCAATACATCTTCTTCTCTCTATGGTTAGGCTGCACCTCGTTCCAGGTGTACTGGAAGATGTCGACCTGGATATGCCAAGGTGGTTCAAGAAGGAAAGCCTGTTTGCTGCTATGCTTGCGTTCCATGTGCAGAAGGGGCGTTCTCCACTCAGGCAGGTTGGTTGCTCTAAGGGAAAGACTCCTTGGGAGAATAAATTCAGGGCGGAGATTCATTCAGGTACATTTTTTGTGGGAATTCTGAAGACATTGCTGAATGCACATTTGAAATGATTTGAAAGAAATGCCACAAGTCAGCAATCACTGGGGTTCAAAGTGGGTATCATTGCTTTTTGCTATTTTATACTGAGCTTTCAATGATAAAGGAACTAGAACAGCACTAAAAAGGAAATTTTCTAAATTCGAAAGTGATTAAGTAGAACTAACAAATGATGAGAAGTGGCAGATTTTTAACACAGTAAAAGCGTAATACAAAATAAATGATACAGTATATGAAAATGATTACAATGCAATAGATGGACTATTCTGATCTCACTAGTATGAGAATTGCATGGAAGCAATAGAAAACTGTTTGCATTAACAAGGATAAGTTAAACAAATGTGTCTTCAGGATTACGCAGGAACCATATAATGCAGTAAACCAATGTGGAGGCCATTGCCTCTCAGTTAATCCGAAATCACAGTGTTGCTTTGGTGATTAAAATGAGAATAAGATTGTGCACCCCCTCTATCTCCCTGGAGGAAAGGCAAAATAAAAAGGGCAAACATTTTTCTAAAACCAACAGACTATTTCCCCCTCTCTTTACCTATTTACACATTCTTATCTCCTATGCCACATCAGCATAGACTTTGAAAAAGCCACTCTTGATGCCCATATGGAACAACTCCATATTCCTGCATGAGAGGATTCCTTTCCAACTCTACAGTTCTGTGATTCTATTATTCTCTTTTTCAGATGCAGAACGTTGCACCAAATGCCCAGAAGATCAGCATCCAAACAAGGACAGAGATCAATGTGTCCTCAAGACTGTGACCTTCCTGGCTTATGAAGAACATCTGGGGATCACCTTAGCTTCCATTGTCCTCTTCTTATCTTCTACAGCAGGCATTGTGTTAGGAATCTTCATTAAATACAAAGAAACCCCAATAGTCAAAGCCAACAACCGGGACCTCTCCTACATCCTGCTCGCCTCCCTCCTGCTTTCCTGTTTGTCCTCCTTCCTCTTCATTGGGCAACCAAGAATAGCGACCTGCCTTCTCCGACAAACGGCCTTCAGCATCATCTTCTCCGTTGCTGTTTCTTCTCTCTTGGCCAAGACCATCACGGTGGTGCTGGCCTTCCTGGCCACAAGGCCAGGGAACAGGGTGAGGAGATGGCTAGGGAAGAGTCTGGCCAACTCCATTGTCATCTCCTGTTCTGGTGTGCAAGTTCTCATCTGCACCATCTGGCTGGGCTCTTCTCCCCCATTCCCAGAGCCCGACATGCACTCCCAGGTGGAAGAGATCATCTTGCAATGCAACGAAGGCTCTGTGGCCATGTTTTATGTTGCCCTCGGCTACCTGGGCTTCCTGGCTGCCATCTGCTTCACGGTGGCTTTCCTAGCCAGGAAGCTGCCTGGCTCCTTCAACGAAGCCAAGCTGATCACCTTCAGCATGCTGGTCTTCTGCAGTGTTTGGGTGTCTTTTGTGCCCACCTACCTGAGCACCAAGGGCAAGTACATGGTGGCCGTGCAGATCTTCTCTATGTTGGCCTCCAGTGCTGGGCTCCTGGGCTGCATCTTCCTCCCCAAGTGCTACATTATTCTGCTGAGGCCTGATCTGAATACAAAGGAGCACCTGACAACAAGAACTTAAGATGGCATCTGAGGCTTAAAACATTCAATGTCGTCAATGGCCAGCACAGTAGAAAGGAAGCACATGTAGTTGTCTTGGGACTGTAGCTTCACATAGTCGTCTTCATTTCACGTGAATCCTGCAGATGAAAATGAATGTATATGTCATGCAATGGCCCCAAGCCCACTGGGCTCAATGTTTAATGTCCTTTATTACTGCCTGATTCCCACTACATAACTGATCAGGCATGTTGGTCCAGCTTCTCCAGAGGATTGGGGGGACCCAACACACATCCTGACATCACATAAGCAACATGACACAAGGCCCTGATGTTATGAGGAGCTGGGAGTGCAGCCGAATGCCAAGTGAACCAGGAACAGGCTGCATGTCTCTATTTCTGTTGACTTTGCTCCAACATGTTTGGGTTTTGGTGCTGATGTGTTTCCATGTATTCCTCAGCTCTGACCCCTGGCTATGTCTAGAGTCCTTAGCAGTGGTAGGGCAAAAGGAAGCTCAGTGAGTGGCTACTGTTTGCCAGTGAACCTAAATACAAAGAGATGATGGTCCTACCTCACAGAGCTGTGCTCTCTGTATGCATATGCTAATTCTGTATGCATACGCTACAGAAGGGACACACTGGGCTCAACCTGGCTTAACTCTTGCCCCTTGATAAAAACAGGGTGATGACAGGAGGAATGCATTCCACTGTCTGCAGTTCAGAAGAAAGGGCTGCACTTTCCTTCTCCTAAATGACATGTAGACCAATCAGCTTTATGAAGTGTGTGGGTTTTTCAAATATGGAAAGGGCAGTTGCTTACATTTAAATACAACTTCCAAGCATGGCTGGTCTGTAATAAATAACAACAACAACAACAACAACAACAACAACAATTTTATTATTTATACCCCACCCATCAACAACAACAACAATAATAATAACAACAACAACAACAACAACAATTTTATTATTTATACCCCACCCATCAACAACAACAACAACAATAATAATAATAATTTTATTATTTATACCCCACCCATCTGACTGGGTTTCCCCAGCCACTCTGAGCAGCTCCCAGCAGAAGAGTGAAAACACGATAAAATAGGACTTCCGGGGTGGCGCCATCGGCAATGGCGGACTTCCTCTGAACTGGAGGGACTAGCTCCGCGGGAAACGGGTCTTCTCCGCTACGGCGAAGCGGGGACCCTTCTAAAAATCACAGGCGGATGAAGCCTGTGACCATGGGACTCGGCGGGCACCTTTAGCGCCCCCCCAACTCGCAAAGGAACCCATTAACGGGCTCCGAAGTGAAGAGAGGGAAGTGGCGCAGTGCTGTGAGTCAACTGCTATTTCCGTGGAGCGAAGCCGCATAGCTGTTGCCGGAGAGCGCTGCCTCTTTTCTGGGACAATTTGGACTCTAAAATAAGCACCCGTGAGTACTTAAACTTTGAACAACTGGACCTTAAATAAGGACTCGCGAGCAGAAAGGAATTGGATTTAAAAATTTATTTCAATTTGGTACTGAACGGGAAGGTCTAAACAGGAAGTCAGCCTTCCGTTCTTTTGTAGACAGAATAAAGCAAAGACAACGTAAACTAGAGCTTAGAAAATCGCCTTTAAAGGATTGGATTTCATCATTTAAAATTGTGGAACCCCCCTTCGACAGCAGGAGAAGAAGGGGGATCTTTTTCGGACTGTTTAAAGTGAGTTTAAAGTAAAGTAACTTTCCACCGTCCTGATCCTGGAGCGGGGTGTCAGGACTGACGTTTGAAGCTCATTGACCAGAGACAAACATTTTTGACAGATAGCTAAAAGAAGAGAAACATAGTGATTCCACTGTTTCCTTTCGCATTTTAAAGGAACAAATATTGACAAAATATCTCAAAAAGGGAAACTTTGTTGCAAGAACAAATAGAAGCTTTCCCCCTAGAGGGAGACTGTGAAACTGTAACCAATTCCAGGGAGCCGGCAGCTGTTACAGATTACAATCGTGGGAACAGACATTTGACCTTGCAGGACAATGTATTCAGAAGCTCTGTTGTGCGCTTTCTATAAAACAAATGCCCTACTGGAACAGTTACATGAGAAGATGAATTTGATGGCGACTTCGACTAGAAATTTTGAACAGACAGTGGGAAAATATGTGGAGCCCACCCAGGAATTAAATCAGGAGTGTGTCCTGACAGAACAGGCCCAACAGGAATATGAGCTTTCGGATTTGACAAATGAACTTGGAAAAAGCCAGATTTGGAAAGAAAAAGTTTGGTTTGGCTTGGAAATGGGGGGCTGGATTGACCCCCCTATGCTGGGATGTTTGGACTTTTCAAATCTGGCAATGGGCCGTGAGATGTTTGGGATTGTGGGGGCTCTTAATTTTGGAGGGTTTTTGAAACATGTTTTTAAATATCACATGGAATTTAGTGTTGAATATGGAAAAGGGGCTGATCTGTCGAGAAGGGTCAAAAATATTGTCAAGCTGGAGTTACCACGAGCAGGAGACAAGGGAAAATACAGTTACAAATATGAAGAAGAGCTGCGGAAGGGACATGGAAGAGACTTGAGGGCCTCGGATATAAGGTTGCCAGGTTAATGCGCTAGATCGATGGGATAATAAGGAGTGACAAAACCCGGGACCAGGAGGAAGGGACGCTGGATGAAGATTGGATTTGTTTGTATTTCTTTTTTTTTTACTATTAGGACTGTTTTATAAAATTGATGAATGTTAGAAAAATGTTGGAATGAAATTACTCGGCTTTAGTAAAGATGCTTAAAGAATTATGAAAGAATATTATGGTTATGAGAAGTTGGTAAGGATAAGATTTAAGCTTTAAGTTTTAAGGTTTTTTTATAAAAAGACAAGATTAAAACAGTTTAAGGTAATGTAGCGACAGAATATTATGAAATATGGAAAGGATTTGCTGGGATAATTAATAACTAGGATACAAAGAAAGGGAGGAGGAGGTCAAAGAAAGAAGGTAATGACAGTTGAGGATTTGAGAATAATGAATTTGTTTTTAAATGTTTTTAAATGTTTGTGGTGTATTTTTGTTTTTTCTGATTTTTTTTCTTCATTTGAATTTGTATTTGTATTGTTGGAAGGGTTTGTTTCTCTCTTTGTTTACTTTGTTAACCATTTTTATTTTGTATTTTCTTTTTTTTTATTTTTATTTTGTAACATTTTGAAAATCTCAATAAATATCTTATAAAAAAAACAAAAAAACCCACGATAAAATATCAGACATTAAAAACTTCCCCATACAGGGCTGCCTTCAGATGCCTTTTAAAGTTGTTATTTACTTGACATCTGATGGGAGGGCCTTCCACAGGGCGGGTGCCACTACTGAGAAGGCCCACTGCCTGGTTCCTTGTAACCTCACTTCTCGCAGTGAGGGAACTGCCAGAAGGCCCTCGGAGCGGGACCTCAGTGTCCAGGCTGAATGATGGGGGTGGAGATGCTCCTTTAAGTATCCTAGGCTGAGGCCATTTAGGGTGCCACAAGCATCTATCTCTTTGACTGCACAGTTGCCTCTTGGAGGAAATGACTGTGAGGTCACAGTGACTTTCCGCAGATTTGCTCCCAGAGCTCATTTTTACAGGTTTGCTGGTGTCTGTTCTCCTCTCCTTGACCCCCCCCCCCGCAAGTTCAACAGCAGATTCTGTGGGGTTTTGATCAAAAGATTAACAAAAGATCTTGCCCTTTGTGTGGCCAACCTCTTTCTCTTCCCTTCTCCTCTTACTTACAGGCTGCACAGACTCTAGGAGCTTAGTGAGCTGGTAGAAATGCCAGGAGCAGGAAGTAGGGTTCTTCCTCTCGCAAGCAATGGTGTGATCTAGTTCCTTGATGTAGTTAATCCGAAGTTCGTCAAAAGAACTTCTGGTTCTTCAGCCCGTCCACTGGACCTGGGGCATGGAGAAACAGAGGAACAATAGTCAGTATGGTTGTGCCTTGCATGCAGGTTACTTTCCAGGATGGCACCTATCTGCAAGACCGTGGCCCCTTGAACCACCCGCTTGGATGTGGGACATAATATTCAAATGTCAGATTGGGGGAAATAGTGGAGAAATAATTTGAAATTTACGGCCTGTACATTGATAAAATAAAATTACATGAAAATGATGTGTAGGTGGTATTTAACACCAGTGAAATTATCACAAATGTATAAATCAGAAGATAAGAAATGTTGGAAATGTAAAGAAGTAGTAGGTACATTTTATCATATGTGGTGGCAATGTATAATTATTTTAAAAATGGGAAATGATATATAATGAACTAAAGAAAATGTTTAAAATATCCTTCGTCAAAAAACCAGAAGCCTCCCTATTAGGAATTATAGGAAGCGAAATACAAAAAATGAAATAAAAAATCTCTCTTTTTTTTTTAAATGATATTTATTCCAAATTTAAAATTACAAAAAAGAAAAGAAAAGCCATACAAAATAAAATACACATATAACAAAAAACAGACAATAAGAAAAACTTAACAAAAAGTATAAAAATACATTACATTAAGATAAAGCAAAAAACAGATTAAACCTTTACCTAACCTTTTTTCCTTTTACTTATTTCCATGACCTCCTCCCACCTCCCAGCCCTGTATTCTAGTTCAAATCGTATTTCCAGCAGATCCTTCTAACCTTCTTTTCATTTACTTATTTTAACATTCAATAATATAATTAATCCTCCTCAATTTCATCAATTTCTATATTTCATTTTTACTTAATCCATTATATCATATCTGCCAAAACGACCTAATATTCTTTTTCCAACCTCTTTCTAACATTCTTTTATGTTGCAATATTTTTGAAGATATATTTTAAATTTTACCAATCTTCTTCCATCGACCCCTCTCCCCGGTCTCGAATTCTGCCGGTCATCTCAGCCAATTCCATATAGTCCATCACTTTCATCTGCCATTCTTCTCGGGTAGGCAATTCTTGTGTCTTCCAGTATTTCCCAATGAGTATTCTTGCTGCTGCTGTCGCATACATGAAAAAGTTCTATCTTCCCTTCGCACCAATTGGCCGACCATGCCCAAGAGGAAGGCCTCTGGTTTCTTTAGAAAAGTATATTTCAATACCTTTTTTAATTCATTATATATCATTTCCCAGAAGGCCTTGATCTTTGGGCACGTCCACCAAAGGTGAAAGAAAGTACCTTCATTTTCTTTACATTTCCAACATTTATTATCGGGCAAATGATAGATTTTTGCTAGCTTGACTGGGGTTAAGTACCACCTATAAATCATTTTCATTATATTTTCTCTTAAGGCATTACAAGCCGTAAATTTCATACCTGTGGTCCATAACCGTTCCCAGTCAGCAAACATAATATTATGTCCAAAATCTTGTGCCCATTTAATCATAACAGATTTAACCGTTTCATCCTGTGTATTCCATTTCAGCAACAAATTATACATTCTTGACAGGTTCTTAGTTTTAGGCTCTAACAATTCAGTTTCCAGTTTGGATTTTTCCTCCTGGAAACCAATCTTTTTATCTGAGTTAAAAGCCTCCCTTATTTGATAATAATGAAGCCAGTCTCGAACTTTGGTTTTTAGTTTGCCGAAACTCTGCAGCTTTAGTTTATTTCCAACTTGTTCTAAAATTTCACAGTATTTTGGCCAGTTTGTCTCCATATTAGTTTTTTTCAAAGCCTTAGCCTCCATTGGTGACAGCCACCTTGGAGTTTTACTTTCCAACAAATCCTTATATCTCACCCAAACATTAAACAATGCTTTCCTGACAATATGGTTCTTGAATGCCTTATGCGCTTTAACCTTGTCATACCATAAATATGCATGCCATCCAAACACATTGTCAAAACCTTCTAAGTCCAAAATATCCGTGTTTTCAAGAAGCAGCCATTCTTTCAGCCAGCAAAATGCGGCTGATTCATAATAAAGTTTAAGGTCTGGCAGGGCAAATCCACCTCTTTCCTTTGCATCTGTTAATATTTTAAATTTTATTCTAGGCTTCTTGCCCTGCCAGACAAATTTAGAAATATCTCTGCCACCTCTTGAAACAGTCCATTTTGTCCACAATTTGCAATGTTTGAAACAAAAACAACATTCTAGGCAATACATTCATCTTTATCACAGCAATTCGGCCCAACAGTGATAACTTCAATTTTGACCATATTTCCAAATCCTTCTTTACTTCTAACCAACATTTTTCGTAGTTATCTTTAAACAAATTCACATTTTTAGCAGTCATATTGTCAGAGCTGGCTCCAGGTCCCAGCTCACAGAGGACCAACGCTAGCCGGCAGTAATGTACAAAAGTCTTTATTGAAGTACAGTTTCCATTTTCAAGCCGGAGCGCCCCAGCTCTACGTCTAGGGGTTAGATCGGCGAAGCTCCATCTGAGTCTCCGCCCCCTGTACACCAGTTTAAGATTCTAGCCTTACTCCACCTCTTACGTCTCTCCTTTCTCCTCTGGGTCCTGCTACCCCCCGGGGTCCCTTCCTTCCTGGATTCTTCTGACGCTGACCCCCTTGACTCCTCCCCCTCTTTTCGGCGGGCTTTGGGACCTGGCTCCCTATCCGGGCTGCCAACTGCGCCGCCCTCCTGTACATTTGAACTTGGCGCGCGCGCCCAGCCTTCAACCTTCCTCTCGACCGTTTCCTCGCTCCCCGATGGAGGCGTGGCCAATCCTGACTCATGTCCTCCCACTGGCAGTGCGCCGCCTGATCCCGATGCCTGGGACTCCTCCCCTACTGCACTCTGGTGTGGACGCTGGTCCTGATTTCCAACTGCTGCTCTCTGAGTCCCCTCTGGCCCCTTCTTCCTGGGGTGTCCCCCTCGGCACCCCCTTGCTCTGACCAAGGGAGCCCCTTTCTGTGAATCTTCCGATTCGCTGGAAAGACTCAGAGACCTCGGACCGCTGTCATCGCTAACATTTCCTTCGGACTCCTCCCCTCGCTCTCTATTTCCTCCCTTTCCTGTGCCTCTGCTCCTGAACCCCTGACATCCATCCCCCTCGAAGCCCCCCTTCCCCCTCCCCTCCTTCAGGTGTGGGTACTGGGTGCTCCGTCGTTGTGGGGGTGAGTGCCGGATACAGTTCGTCCCCGTGGCGTGCATCCAGCCGGATAAGTCCGGCTCGTCCTCCGTGCTCTCGCCGACCTCAATTTCCTCTGCTTCCATCTCTTTGCCGCCGTGCTCGAACCCAAGGTCCTCCCCAACACGTCCATGTCCGTCTCCCCCGGTCTCCTCCGGGGACGTTGCCTGCCAAGGACCCCTCAGCCACTTCCTGCGCCACTGCTCCTCTGGTTGATTGTCCCACCAATAGGAACGGTCTGAGGCAGACCCTAGGGTGATCCCTCCGGGGAACGTGTTTCTAGTGCCGGTTCCTCGTCCGAGGTGAACCCCTGGAATGTGCTAGCTGAAAATGTGGGTGTGAAAAGCCAGTCGTCGAAATACTCGGCTGGCATGGGCCTGTGTGGGAAAAGGGCATAATCTGGCACCCAACTGTTGGCGCTGGCCGGGGTACCTTCTCTGGCGAGAAGATATTCTACTCCCTCTTCCCCCCATCTCGAGTCTAAAATCTCTGTGACTTCGTTGACGGGTTCCCGCCTTGGCGACCCCCTTGTGGGCGTTTCCCTGAACGGGTCTGGTGCCGTTCCTGGCTCCTGAAATCTATGAGGTGCTTTGTAGGGCGTGAGCACTGATCTATGGAAAACTGGGTGCATTCTGGATCCCTCCGGCAGTGTCAACCGGAAGGCCACTGGATTGACCTGTGCCTCGACTTGGTAGGGTCCTAGCTGCTTATGCCCTAGCTTCTTCTTCGCTAACGATCTGGCCGGCACTGCCTGGGCTGCTAACCAAACCCAGTCTCCCACCTGTATGTCTTCCCCAACCCTTCTGTGCTTGTCAGCCTGCAGTTTGTATGCGTGCTTTGCTAGTTCTAACTGCCTCCGAAGCTGTTCGTGAACCTCCTGCAACTCTGATGCTAAGGCTTCCGCTGCCTGTGGCTCCCCCTCCCCCGCTCTCGCTAATCCCGGGAAGGTTCTGGGATGCCTCCCGTTGTTGGCGAAGAACGGTGTCACCCCCGTGGACACGTGCTTCGTGTTGTTGTAGGCGAACTCAGCGAGCGGCAGGTAGTCCACCCATGTTGCCGGCTGCTGATTTGCGTAGCATCGCAGGTACTGCTGCATGATGGCGTTGACTCGCTCCGCTTGTCCGTTCGTCTGCGGGTGTCTCGCCGACGCTAGGTTGATCTTGACGTTCAGGAAACCCATCAGCTTCTGCCAGAAGTTCGAGATGAACTGTCGTCCACGGTCGGACAGGATAGACCGTGGCAGACCGTGAACCCTGAACACGTGGTCTATGAACAGTTTGGCGGTCTGTTCCGCCGTGGCCACCTTCGCGCACGGAATGAAGTGGGCCATTTTGGTGAACATGTCCACCACCACTAGCACTGCCGTCTTGCCCCTCGAGCTGGGTAGATCCGTGACAAAGTCCAGGGCCACCCTCTCCCACGGTTCGAGCGGTGTCTGCAGCGGTTCGAGCAGTCCCGCCGGCGGTTTGTGCACTGACTTGGCCCTTTGGCAGGTGTCGCACCTCGAGACGTAATCCGCGACTTCCCCCGCATCTTGGGCCACCAAAAATCTCTGGCTACTAATTCTACCGTCTTCTCTTTGCCAAAGTGCCCGGCGGTGGGTGCGTCGTGCAACTGCTGCAGTACTTTCGCGCGGAGGTCGTCTCCCGGTACGTAGAGGGCCCCTCTGCGGATGAGCAATCCGTCGCGTATCTGGAACTCGTCGTCCTCCGCCGTGCCCCTTTGCACCTCTGCCATCTTTGCTTGCGCGAAGGGGTCCTCCTGCAGTGCTCGACGTACAGCATCCAGGTCCACGGTTGCTGAAGCGCACGCCCACGCTTTCGGTGCGAAAATGTGCTTGGCCGCTGCTGGTGCCGCCTCCTCGAGGTATTGCGGCTTTCTGGACAGTGCATCCGCCATGATGTTGTTGTCGCCTGGGATGTACTCTATCCTGAAGTCGAAATCCGCAAAGAACTCCGCCCATCGTATGTGCCTCTGGTTCAGGAACCTTGCCGTGCGCCAGTACTCCAGGTTTTTATGGTCCGTGCGGACCTGCACTGTGTGTTTGGCTCCAATGAGGAAGTGCCGCCACGCCTTGAATGCTGCATGAATGGCCAGCAACTCCCTGTCCCAGATGGTGTAGTTCTGCTCTGACTTGCTGAGCTTCCTGGAGTAGAAGGCACACGGTCTCCAGTCCCCATGCGGGTCTTGCTGCAACAGTACTGCTCCCACGGCTCTGTCTGAGGCGTCCGTTTCAACCCTCATCGGTCTGCTGGGATTCACATGCAGTAGCTGCTCTTCGGACGAGAAGAGACGCTTGAGTTTCTGAAAGGACTGCTCCGCTTGCTCCGTCCAGATGAACTTCTTCTTCTTGGAGCTGAGCGTGTCGGTAATGGCCGCCGTCTGCATCGCGAACCCCTTGATGAACTTGCGGTAAAAGTTGGCGAAACCGACAAACCGCTGGACCTCCTTCCGATTGCGCGGGCTCTTCCAGTCCAACACTGAGCGAACCTTGGCGCTGTCCATGGCGAGCCCCTTGTCCGACAACTTGTAGCCCAGGAAATCTACCTCCTTCATGTCGAACTGGCACTTCTCCAGCTTGGCGTACAGCCTGTGCTCCTGCAGTCTCTGCAGAACTTCCTTGACGTCTCCCTCGTGGGTCTCCTCTGATTCTGAAAATATCAGGATGTCGTCCAGGAAGCAGACGCATTTCTTGTAGAGGAGACCCGCCAATACGTGATGCATGAAGGCTTGAAAACAGTGGGAGCCATTTTGTAATCCAAAGGGCATAACTCTGTATTCATAGGTGCCCAGGGGCGTGAACATGGCAGTCTTCCATTCGTCGCCCTCCCGTATGCGAATCAGGTTGTACGCCCTCGCAGATCCAACTTTGTGAAAACGCGTCCTTTCCTCACCGTTGCGAGCAGGTCATCTATCTTGGGCATGGGAAAGGCTGTGGGCTTGGTTTTCGAGTTCAAAATTCTATAGTCCACCACAAGCCTTTGGGGCGTGTCCTTCTTCTTCACAAAGAATACAGGACTGCCCCCACTGCCTTCGACTCCTGGATGAAACCGCGCTT